ATACAACTTGTAAAAAAAAAGGGACTTCAACAGTAGAAACAGTTTAGATTCACTGGAAATTCTTGTGAGCACTTGTAAAATTGATGCAAGGTAAGATGTTTGCATTGTAAACTAGCATATGTAAACGCTGGCTGAAAACATGACCAAGCTCAGCAGATGCCAAACCCACATTTCTCAGTAGTTCAGGGCTTGCATAGTGGGAGCAAGACTGAAATGAGTGGAGAAACTTTGAAATAGTTATGAAACACAACTGTGCTTCATAATACACTGCATAACCTCTTATGATTCAGCATATCTGATCCTAATATTTTGCAGCAATTATAGGTTAGCCTCGGGACTGTTGTTCCATACAAGTTCTTGTAATTTGTGGAAGTCGTGAGTCAAATTTCAAAGAAAGAAAAAATTTGACTTTTGTATATGATTATTTTGTTGTTATGTGCTGAAGCCACCTTTTACCCTCAAAGTAAACTGCAGTAATTGAATTAACTTAGGCAATATATGGCATGCCATTTAGCTGTGCAGACATAATTTAACTAAGTTGGCAAATTTATTTCCTTCTTGAGTTTGTCTAGATGACATTGGACAATCTAGTTCACTTTTCTGTTCATCTCTGCAAGGCTGCTGTTGTTCCCTTATGCTGCCAGTCACACTTTTTTTGTGGATGCTGTTGCTGCTAGTAGGGATGAATGGGTTGTATGCTCTTTGATCCTAAATGAAAATGAAGGTTGAATCTTGCAAGCTACATTCAGTCCTCTACCTGCCAGGTTGCCTTAGCCTGTGGTTGTTGTGGTTGAAATGCAGGAAAGCAGTGACTGCATCTGAAACATTATTACCTGTGCCTTCTGTGATAACTCTGTCTGATGGGAGCTGCTGAGTTTGACATCTCAGGATGAATCCCCATGGGACCTGGGAGTGTCACAGTCCAACTGATTTTGACTGGTTGCTTGGTTGGTTGGTTGTCACCAGGGCACTGACAGGTCCTTTTTCCAATGGTGTCACATGGGCTAACAGTCACAAAAAATCTGGATTTCTCTGTCCTGAGTCTGGAGCTTTCTACAGAACCTACAACATTACTTTTTCTTTGAACCTCTTACTGAGAATCCCTTATTATTTTCAGTTTTACTATAGGTAACATGTCAATGCCTTTTGGGTGAGTTTATAGTGGAACTACCTGTATTATGGTTAAAGCCAGATCTGTAGCAACAGGAATGTGGAGAGAATATGAGAGAATTCTGATAATTATGAATGTTTGTAAAACCAGTATAAGTCAAGTACTGGCTTTTGAAGAGGTCCTGTGAATGTAACTATAAAGGCAGCAATGCCTCAAAGGTGGAATACAAAATTAGCATCTTTCAGGGGATGAATTATAAAATTCTAGCTATATGAAAAAAACATGCCGATTACACTCAATAAACCCTAAGGGAATATTGTCCAAATAAAGACTGCAAGGATCAGTCTTCTGTTTTCTACTACTGTATTCTCTTGCCCTTCTATTCTTATGCACATATTTATAATACTGTAAAATTTCATCAGAGAAGGGAAATGGGATTTTGATAGCCCCCCCTCCCAAAAAAAAAAAAAAGGATCACCTGTCAGTAATCCTGAACATGGCTGTTGAATGGATTTGACCCTTATTTCAGCTTTGTTCTTGGCTGGCAGGTGCCCGGAGGCCTTTCAGTCTGCTTTAGAAGACCTTGTTTTAAAAACAGTAGTATTTGTCGCCTAATTATGAATGCAGATTTTGCATGTGTTTGAGATTTACAAGGCCTTGCTTATGTGAAACAGGCTATAAACTCTCCTTGGAAATGTATAGTAGTCTGGAGTAGATAATTACACTTTGAGAAAAGAGCCTCTGTTTCCAGTGAAAACACTGTAAAGTTATTTCAGAAATGCTCTGACCTCAGACGTTTCATATAACTTACACAAAATGCTTTCACATTTGTTCAGCAGCTAGTGGCTTGATCTCTGCCATCTCATAAGTGAAAGCACAGAAGTCTCCCTGGGAAAAAAACAGCATGTCTATGCTGTGGCGTACAAAACTAGTGTTATTTTACTCACTCTGTTCTTTCTGTCTATACCCTTAAACAGAAGAAACCTTGCCCTTTTTTAAACAAATCT